ATAGTATCTGTATTCTTTGGTTTTTTTACCTTGTATTTTTAATAGCTTAGTATACTCATTTTTTATTTTATAATTTATTCATTTATTATTTAGAGGGCCACAAGGTTATTAGCTCCAGCTAGTTTGTGCTAACCTTCATAACATAAAGTCTTTACTTACTTACTTACTGGTGTGAGCTGACAAGTAAAAGATGTCTGAATTATGTAGACTGCATCCCTGTATTTTGTTGCAGTTAGATGGGAAACTTGAATAATGTGAAGGTTTTAGATGGATCAAACACTTCTTCATTTTGTGCTTACTGCCATCCATAGTAATAGTAAAGCCTTTATACAGGCCCAGGTGGCCAATGGGGCCAGCTCTTAACTCCAGTTTCCTTAGCATGAAGTGGCTAGGAGTATTGCAACTTCCCCCTGGATGGGATGTTAGTCCATCACAAGGTTACCCCCAGCATATTTGCTGGTACCCATTTGTACACCTGGGTGAAGAGAAGCACTGTGAGAGTAAAGTGTCTTGCCTAAGAACACAACACAATGACCCTGGCCAGGGCTCAAAACCAGATCACTTGATCTGGAGTCAAGCGCACCAACCATGAGGCCACTGTGCCTCCTACTGCCATCCATAATCTGATCTAAATATTGTGGATTGGGTTTACAAGCTTAAGCATACTTGAAAGTCTATAGAGTACCATACCCTGGTTTGTGAGGATAATTCAGCAAAACACTGGTAACCCTAAGCCCAAGATCATTGTAGCAAGCATTTCAATCAATCTAAAATTTGCAAATTATCAAATATCACCTCAGAGGCTTTACAGCAAATGAATATTTATTTTTACACATCTCTAAATATGAACTAATGTTGTGGAACCCCATTTTAATCTTCTATTTCCAAGCTAATGTCTGTTTCATGTCAGTGGGCTCAGCGTGATTAAACCAGTAGCTCATGCTTTATGAATCAGGCAGAGCAGCATCCCTCATTTGTTTGTGACACTGTAGTTTAAATTTTGAAATATCATTTGAATTCAAGTCTGATATCTCTATTGTTGGGAGTTCTTAGATGAGGCTTTTTCATGAGTTCCACTTAGACTTCTACCCTTAGTTTAAACTGTTAATTTCATGTTATTTTGGTATGGTTATGAGAGGTGTGCCTCTAACTATTGTCTGGTGATTGATTGAGTTTCCTGAAAAATAAATCACATTTTGATTAAACAGTGAAGTTAAACAATATTGAGTTACTTGCTTTTTGTATCACTTTAATTAACTGATTATGATCTTTGCAGGTCCCCACTAAACCCAGTAGCAAATACAAAGTCAAGAATTGATTCTGGGCCACCTCCTCTTATCTCAATTATTCCAAAATCTGAGGACTCTGGATACATGCACTCTCACCTTCCTCCACACTCACGGCCATCTGTAATCACATCCACCAATATTATTCGCAGGCCAGTTGGTTTTATGGCCCCATCCCACCTTTATGGTCCAACAGAAATGTTTTGTTACCCAGGTCCTCACAGACGTGAAATTGTGGAATCAGGAATCATTGATCCTTTTGTAGAAGAACACTTTCGTCGTAGCCTTGGTGATGACTACAAATGTGTCAGCCCAACAGCAATATCTACAGCAGGCTCAGTTGATGACCATTTTGCAAAGGCTCTTGGAGACACATGGCAGAAATTAAAAAAACCTGAAGTATCAACTCAGTCTTCAAATTCACCACAACTGCAATCTATTGTATCACCTGCCAACTAGCTCTTTATCTTTTTACATATTTTCTTAAGTAGATGCTAGAGTTTATCATGTAGGGGGTTTGTGTCTTTGTCATGATGCTACTTTTCACAAATTTATTGTATGCATAACTTGCCAATTCTTGCATAAACAATACATGATTTATTGTTTGTAATGCTGAAATTTTAGACTTTCAAGCAGATGAAATAGATTAGGCTTACTTTGATTTGTGAAGATGCATCATTTAAAATGTTTGCATTATTTGTTGAGAACTTGTGTTATTTAGCTATAGCATGAGGGCTGGCAATGAATGCAGTACAGAGATGTACATGTACTATGTACATGTTTTGAACCCAAGACCATTTTAGTTTCTCAGAAGTGTATTTTTACTGTGTGTGTTGCCTAAGGTGTTGTGAATGTCAAGGTCCACATGCATGTCTAAAGAGCAGTTTAGAAATTAAGAATTTCTTAAGGGATTTTGATGTTCATGAATTTCTACTACATTTCAGACACTCATTTTCTGACTTAACTCATGAGTGAATTTTTGTACCATCTCTAGTTCATACTGCTATTTCTACACACAATTACACTCTGCTAGAAGCAAAGGTAGAAATAGTTTTTCTAAGGTTTCTTGCATCATAGAAGTGACTTATGTGTTGATTTTCATCGTCAGAGGCAATTCCTTTAACTCAATTAAAAAAAAAACTGCATGTTTAAAAAACTTTTTAACCCATTCGTTACTTTTTTATCCATAGTTGTAATTCTACTTTTTTAACAAATTATTTTTGGCAATGATGATGTAGAGTAGAAAAGTTTATCAACAGCTTAAATTTTTTTCCTATCAAACTTATAATACAAGGGCATGTCATTTAACAGGCAGTTAGCAAGGAAATTTAAATGGCATGTCAGTATGGAAAAAAGTCTATAGGCCCTTTATTAGTTTGATTTAAAATTGTTACCCATGGACAGAAGCTAATTTGTATCGAGTTGGGATCTTTTTTATTTAATAGATACTGAAATTTACCCTGTGAAGTACTATCCTTTTTGTCTCTGATTGGAGGAATAATGTATTTATACATTACAGCTTCCAATCTTTGAATTGAAATGTGAAAAAATCTCAGTACATATGAAGTTAAAACATCATGCTATCGAAAGTGCTTGAAAAATTTTTATTCACTGGTTGGGATGCATCTAGAGACTCCATTTTATTCCATGGAATGATCTCTTTGCTCTTGTCAATGGTGAAAAAGGTTCTTTAGAACTGGTCTTTGGTAAGAGTTTTCGGAGGATGATTGTTTTGCACTGAGTAGACACAGATAAATCCCGATTATCAAATTGTTTTAAATGTGTGGTTTTTAGGCATGAATTGATGGACCCTATAGACAGAGCTGCAAAAAAAGTTGTCTTTTATTAGTGTTTTAGTTTTCCCATGTTTTAGGCATATTCTGTTTATGCAAGCAGCCAAACTTTGGCCCAAGATAGTTGCCTTGGTGTTGGGGCAAGCAGTTTGATAAGTTCTAATTGAAATAGTGAGCTAAGAGATAATTGTAAATATAGTGTGTACACAAGAGCTATTTAATATATTGTGTAGTAATGTAAATATCAACAAGGTCGCTGAGAACTTCATTAAACTTGATTTTTCATCATCAGCTGCCTGTATGATTATTTCTTTCATGTTCTGTCTGAAAGTTATTACCATCTGAGGAAAAAACTAGGAAAAGAACCAATCAGATGCATTGATTGATAATTCTATCCAAGATTAGTCTGGTATTTTCCCGGGCTGCTTTTTTATGTTTGGAGAATTTTATAAGATTGAGTGATATTTTTCATAGTTATTGATACTGAGCCTTTTTTAGTATTTGCTTAAAAAATATGAAAAATGTATTCCTGAAAGACATGGTTAAACAATTAAATGCAACTAAATTGCATAAATTGCAGCAGAATCCTTTTTTTTTAATCTCCTGGCAAAATATGTTGGTTTGTGGCTTTTGGGTGGTTAAAACTTTATGGGGTAAAACAGTAATGATTGATGGGGGAGAAAAGTCTGGTTTAAATTATGGGAAGTTTTGAGAAACCAATTGTTTGATAAATTAGGATTTCCAAATTCCTGCCCCTTTCACCAAGAGAAACACCCTCTCTTCCTCAGGGGGGTGAAAAAAAGATGGGATTGTTGTTTGCCCATTGGTGGATTGAAATAACCCCTTAAAATATCAGTGAGGAATGAGAACTGTTTGCCATAGTGCTGTCACCAACATGAAACTCAAAGCTCTATTCCCTCATATTACCTTCATCCAGGCATCCAAGCAATTAAATCAATAATCAACAATGATTGATAACAGTCAGTCCAACTAATTTTCTTTTTTCCTGGAGATGTAGAGACAGGGAGACTCATTCTGTAATTTGAAGAATGAAATGAAGATATTTTGATATTAATAACGTGTGCACTGAATGTACAGAGACCTTATAAGAGTGAAGACCTAAACGACCGTAAAAGACCACACCGGTCCCAACTAGCGCGTACGCACTGGGGACGAGAGTTTATGCCGCCATGTTTAAAAACAGACAAGATGGCGGAACTATCGCCTGAAGAGTTCAAGAAGAGTCTCTTCACGACTTTCCGAAGTCGTGGAGTGCTAGAGGCCCTGAAGGTGAGCTTAAACGTAACAATTCAATGTAAATTTGAGTTTTATAATACTGCACAGAGATCCTTGGGATACGTCTGGTACGAATGGCGTGTGAAAGTTTGGAGTTCATCGTCATTACTAACAGTTATAATCTTCGAGAAAAATGCACTGATATCTGGAAAAAAGAAACCACGAATTTACTGTGAGCTTAAACCATTGCTCGTGAATATTTGAACTTGTAATAGAGTGGCACGCTTTCTTGAAAAATTATTTTGAAGCCTTTG